TGAGATAATATATGAGTACCTTGCTGAATGCCTGGCATATGGTAGATGATCGACAATCAACATTAGTTCTCTGCCCTTTAACCTACTCAGGTCTGAGTGACTGCAGGGCTTCTTCTATGTCCATCACCATGACACAGAGAAATACAATGACAGTTGAATCCTTAATATACATCTATCTAAAAATTCTATTATCATGATTAAACTTGCTCTCATATATATGTCATCCAAAATTAACACTTACTGGCATTTTTAAAAAGTGAACGTTATGAACTAATTCTATAAGATCTGACTCAGGAATGGTTTCTGGCACAACAACCTCTTGTCTTGTTCCTCAGTCAAAGAAGCAGTAAGCTCTCCAGCAGTACAAAAGACTACAAGAATGACGCTGGGCCCAACACTGAAATTTACTGATGAATGTGGTGATAAGCAAAGAATGAGGGTCTTTTTTTCTCTCTTCATGACAGGTCCTCAAGGCAATTTGCCAACCATACTAAAAGGGGAAGGGGGGAAAGGCACAGCAATATGTCATGATCTAGTCATGGTGACTGAACTAAAACAAAATTCATTTCTACTGACTTCAAGTACATGCTGCTTAAAAGATTCTCAAGGTGGTTTAGACAGGAGAAAACTTTGATTTGTAAAACAGACGCATTTGTGAAATGTTGCAGGTTACCTGATAGCGTTTTGAAATGCCCAAGGGGAAGTCATTATATAAAACAATCCTTACTGAGGAATCCTAGTTAAACTAATGACAATGATGAAATGTATTCTTTCTGTACTTTGGATTTTCATCTACCAGAAAAGTTTAAAATGTAGGACAATAGTATAAAGGTCAACACAATGCTCCTTATGACAAGACGAAAGATTCCTCTGGGTTGCCATACAATACCTGCCAGCGCGGAAGTCTTCTAGAAGCATTGTCAGAGCCTCATCTTGCTTTACAAGTGAAATGTAAATTTTTCAACATGAGATGAACCGGACAAAAATAAGCCTCATTTCCTCAACCTTCTGTAAGAGGGTGTCCTACTTGGTTTTTAACTTGAGCATCCTGACTCTAAAGCCAAATTAAGTCCCCCCACAGTGGAATCTATGTTTAGAATACCTTGAAGGGTTCTTGAACTCAGCCCTTTATTCAAGAACGACTAATAAAGTCAGTAATGAGAACTATGCTCAGCTTGTTAAGGGGGAACCCTGAGACATCTAGAGTTCTGGTATAAGATTGAGATTCCTCCTCTCTATGGTTCTGTCAATAGATCTTAACCTATGTAGCTCAGAAAGCAGTTCTGACCACAGCCAGCTAAGGTGCCTGGCTTTAGTGAATGCTTAACAAGCATTTGTAGGAACCAGCAATAAGAACCCTTTTCTATCTCCTACTCTGGCTCGTCACCCGGTCTACACTGTGATGCCTCCATCTTGCTTTAAGGCCCCTATTAATAAAATGAGTAAATATTAATAAACTCTTTTCAAAAGAGTATCTGGCACACTGAAGCATTTTTAGAGTACAGTTAAATATAAACAAACACATAAATATTTCTTGCTGGAAGTTCAATGCTAAGGGCTGAATCTTCTGTATTTGATTTCCATGGAAGGTCTTGCTTCTGCCCGGTATGTGCTGCTGGATCCTGTCTGCCGGTTCTCCCAGTAGCTTGGGGGATGAATGTGGAATGTTGCTGCTCACTGTAGATCTAGCCTGAATTCTCTGCTTTTGCGTCTGGGTTTTCATTTCCATTTATGTTCTCTCGGTGGCAATGAATGGAATGTTTTCAACCCTCTTTGTCAAGAGAAGTCATTTCAGGTTGAAGAGATTCTTCACACCTAGTACCAGGCTCGCACCAAACTTCTTCCCATACAGTGGCTCGTGATGAGTCATTTCATACCCGATTCCTCCGAAGTGCAAATGAGATCAGTCAGTGAGAGTATCTTTAACACTGAAGAACTCAACCCACTCACATGGATTTATTCCCAGGAAACGTCACTGCTTGAAGAAGGGAGAGAGCAAAGAGCAAAGAATGGAACAAAACTGGAGCAAATTTCAGCTTTCTGATTCCCTGCCCTTTTCCATTGTATCTAAAAGTTGAGCGCTTCAAACCACTGAAGTGTGGCCGTGTGCTCTCACCGGTTACCGGTTAAGTCCACTGATCACAGGTTCTGAAGTCCTAAGAATAAACAAAAGGTGAAGCTAACCTAACAAATTAAACCGTATATTTTCATTCTTCTATTTTTAAACTAAAAGCTATGAGTGAAGCTATTGACTCTAATGTTGTTTTACAGG